GAATGAAAGCCTGGGTAGAGGTTCGGCAGCGTGTAAGAAGCTGAAAGAAGACACGATGTGAGAAAATGGTTGATACAGCTGCTTTAAAGCAGTGTCACTGCCTGAACTCTGCTGAGGCCAGAACCCCAGAGGAGGGACTTGCTAGCAGGAAGTTCCCTTTCCCAGGCAAACCATGATGCCATTGGATGCAGTGGGTACATTGCCCCTTGGAAATGCAGAGCATGGGCAAAATTTTGCCTCGTCTGTCACAATTTCAGAGCTTCCCAAACATCCCGTGGCTTGGTCCTAATGCTGTAGAGTGATACTTGTGTACTTAGTAACTTATGTAGACCAGCTAATGGTTTTTATTGATGTGGAGTTGCATTTTTTTTTTTTAGGCAAAATTAGTATTTCAGATTTAGAGAAAGAATTTAGTACAAATCTCGCTACTTGCTCTTTTCAAACTCTAAGAAAATGACTACTAATGATGGAGGAAATATGAACTACCAAAGTTTGTGGATTATAGGAGTAGAAAGGAGTACAAGTATTCTTGTAAATTTTTGGTAAAATGCAGGCTGTACTTCCCAGTTAGAAAAACAAAATTCTAATTAATGTTTGGCAGCTGAGGAAGTCCACTTTTAGTAAGTAGCAACATTGATTTTTTTAAAAAAATATTTTTGTTATATCATTCCAGAAGTTTAGCTGTGCGAGGCTGAGGACAGTTGGAGCTTGGAGAAGAGTAAATGTTGTAATTGGCTTATACAGCACCCAGAGCAGGCCTGGCTCCTCTCTTGAGGGGGCGATCCCCAAGCTTCGCAGCCTGAAGTTACCTGCGTGCTGCAGGGCCAGCTGCCGCGTTGACTTCGTGTCCCAGGTGCAGCGTGGAGCTGTCGCGCCTCTTGCCATTGCCCTTCCTCTTGTGTATCTTCTTACTGCTGCTGCTTGGTTGCTTTATCATTTCGGAGGTGCAGGTGGTTCTCTTGGGAAAGGCAGCAGTAAGTGAGATTGGGACTCATTTGCCCCATGCTCATGCTGCTCTTGCAACTCTGGATGGGAGTAATGCTTTAATTTGCTTAATCCCCTGCTTGTACGTGTTTACGTGAAAAGAAGTTTTCATAATTACTGCCGCTTTTACAGGCAGCAGCACCAACCCAAGACTCCGCCAGCAGCAACTGCAACAAGAGACAGCCCTCTTGCATGGGGACAAGGGCTCCTGCAGCCGGTTGTGCGGAGGCACTAGCTGTGTGAATGCTTGCATTGCTCTCTTGTGCTGAAATAAATCTGCATACATCAAGTGTACTAAATGTATTTTGTTTAGAATAAATCCCTCTTCAGATTTTGCCACATAAGCCAGTACAGTATTCAGCTGTCTTGGCCAACAGATCTTCTTTCTCAGTTACCTCCCAGAACCACAGCTGTATCCTGCAGCTGTGTAAATAATCAGTACAGACGTTTTCCACACACTAGGATCCTGAGTGAAGCTGGTTGCGTGGCTGCACGACCAGAACCACACGGCTCGTGTAGCCGAGGGTAGTGGGTTGCCAGCGCAGTCCGTTCTGCGGTGCGCGTGGGCCCAGGCTCCTCAGCCTCACTGAGACCCGCTCCAGACGCGAGGAGCAGGACGCGCTCCCTGGCCACCCAAAACGCAAGGGCCCGGCTGGGGGCCTGACCCGCGCTCAGCTTGGCCACGGCGCCTCCTGGCCCTACACCCAGGACTTGCTAAGCGTGTCGCCCAGGCCCATCCTTCGGCTTCCTCCCTGTCTAAGGTCAGTTATCAGTTCATCAGGGGGTTTCTGACACCCCCGGGGCCCATGGCACAGGTGTGCAGTTGGCCATAGCTTTGCAGCTAAGTTGGCTGCTTTGTTTTAGCCACTCCTATGGGGTTAATCCAGTGAACCAAAGCTGGCAAAGGTGGTCGAGGTCTCATTTATGGAAGCGGTATTTTTTGGGGGGGCTTTACCCCCAACAAGCAGAGACATCGATGGCCTTGGCAGAGCTTTCTCAACACGCTTTCCATGGACTCTCCTGAGCGTGCAGCCGGCTGCTCTTCCACCGCTCCCGATGCAGCCGCACAGATACCCGGGACAGGAGGAAGGAGCCTGCGGCAGCGCTGGGGACACCAGC